TGGGTGAGGTCATAGCCCCACCTCTGTACCACCAGCACAGACACGCCTCCCACTAGGCTGCTCCCAGACACCTGCATCCCTCTGACCATCCCTCTCAAATACTCAGCTGGGGACACCACCAGCTACTCAAGAGCTACCTTTGACTCCTCCCCCTATTCTCACAAGCAAATCACAACTAAGCACCACAGTTCAAGTGCTGCTGCCTGTGTTCCTCTCTTTCACCTTGTCCTACCAAAGACCTTTCCGAATCTTAGATCTAGAACATGTATCTGCGCCTCCCTTGCTCCACACCCTTCAGAACTGAATTACTGAACGGCGTCTCAAACACCAAACTGCCTGTCCACGTGTTCACCCTATGAACTTGTTTAAGTGTAGATTCCCAGGCCCTGCTAATGGACGATTTGGCCATGTGATGTGGTGCCTGGGAGTCTGCATTCTCCACAGTCACCATAGGAGATTCTGCTGCTCGGCCAGGACCAAGGACCACTGGCACTGAGGAAAAGCCTTCTCTATAGGCTCTGTGGAGCCCCCTAGCTGGGTCTATGCCAATTCCATCTTAGCTCTGTCCAGGGTCTACTTTGTACTTGACCCTCCAGCAACACCAATGAGTCCTCAGATATTACCTCACTCCACCCAAACCCTACCCTCTCCACTCTGTCCTTGTGTACCATGAGGCATTACAAGGCTAAGGATAAAGACTTGGGTTCAGTTGATGCTAGGTTCCCATCTCAACTCCCCTGTCCACTGCCAGGGTGACCTTGAGCAAGGCACTAGCCTTTCTCAGCCTTAATTTCCTCTTCTGGAAACTTAGGACAAAACTACACAAATGGGACTGGAGAAACGGTTCAGTGGTTAAGAACACTAGCTGCTCTTACAGTGGACCCAGGTTCAATTTCCAGCACCCACATGGTGGCTAACAACCACCCATAACTCCAGTTCCAGGGGAAGCCAACACCCTCTTCTGACTCCTCGGGAATCGTAGGACATGGGTGCATTTACACACATGCAGACAATACACTCATACGCAGAAAATTAAAAAAATAATAAACTACACAAATGAGATAATGCACAATAAACCCCAGTTCAGCTCAGGACCCAACAATGTGATGGCCCCTTCCTCATCCACACCCTCAAGTCCCCTTCAGTGACCCTCCAGAGAACCCCAGGAGTGCTCAGCACCTAGAATGTTGGTGGCAGGAGGTGACAGCTGAGTGGATGGATAAATGGTGTGATGGTTCATACCACGAGCATCATCTGTGATGAAAAGTAGATACTCCATCAAAGCAAAAACTCCTTCCTCAAGCTTAAATAGGGCTCCTAAGAAAGCGTGCTAGCCAATAAAATTTGGGTTACCAGAAAGCATTCAGGGGTTAGGGTACAGTGGTACAACACTTGCCTGATATGCACAAGGCCCTGCCTGGGTTCAATCTCTAACATCACACACACAAAAAGCATTCAACCCCTGGGCTGGAGAGGTGACTCAATGGTTAAGAGCACTGGCTGGTCCTGCAGAGGGCCCAAGTTCAGTTCCCAGCACCCACATGGAAGCTAACAACTGTCCATAACTCTACCGGGAATCCAATGCCCTCTTCTGACCTCCGCAGGCATTGCACGACACAGGTGCACTTATATAACATGCAGGCAATACACTCATATAAATAAAATAAAAATAATAAATGAAATATTTTTTAAAAAATTATTCAACCCAGGGAGCTGGAGAGATGGCTCAGCAGTTAAGAGCCACTGACTTCTCTTGCAGAGGACCCGGGTACCCTCTTCTGACCGCCATGGGTACTCACTGCATGGCACAGGTGCACTCACATACATGCAGGCAATACATTTATACACATAAAATAAAAATAATAAAATATTTTTAAAAATTATTCAACCCAAAGACATTTTCCATGGGCTAGAGAGATGGCTCAGTGGTTAAGAGCACTGGCTGCTCTTGCAGAGAACCCCAGTTTGGTTCCCAGCACCTACATGGTAGCTGAAAACCATGCCTAACTCTAGTTCCAGGGGCTCTGATGCCTTCATCTGACTTCCATGGGTATTGCACACTCATGGTGCACTTACATTCATGTATGAAAAACACTCATGCACATACAATAAAAATAAATAAATAAAAAATTTAAAAACACCACTTCTAGGTCTAGGTGAGAGCTGGCCTGGTTTTCATTCATACAGGTCCCTTTTCAGGCACATTCAGTTCTATGATTGCTGAGCAAGTGTTACTGACCACCAAGTCCCTCAGAGTCCATCAGCTGCGCCAGCTAAGTGACTCCCGCTGCTCCATCCTTACTGGGCCCTTGCAGGCGAATGCTCCCGCCCACTCTAGCAGCCAATCCCCACGCTCACCTACCACCCTCCTACCCTGCTCTGTAATACCTGCCATTTCGTTATCCACGACCAGGTCTGCTCCCTTACCTCCTCACTGCCCACAAGATCAGCCTGCTTGGATTCTTCCCAATAACCTCTGCACATCTAAACCAGGCCCCCTCACGGCAGCCTGAGCCCACCACAGCAACCCCTGCCTCCTTACCTCTACTGGTGTCGTACCCAACCCAGAATGCCCCTTCCAACCTTCACTTCTTGTGTCATTCTTATGCTCTACTAAGGTTCAAAATCCCATTTTTCCCATGAAACCCTCCTGGTTACCTCAGCCCACAGTGGGGTCTCCCTCTTCCCACACGTGTTCTCTTTATTCATTTCATTCTATTCTTGTAGCCAGTATTCACTAGACATGTATGGACTAGGCACTAGGGATAGTGGTGCCTTCAGAGCAAAGGAGGCCCATGTGTTCTCTTTATTCATTTCATTCTATTCTTGTAGCCAGTATTCACTAGACCTGTATGGACTAGGCACTAGGGATAGTGGTGCCTTCAGAGCAAAGGAGGCCCAGTGTTCACGATGCACAGAGTCCTAGGTATGTGTGTGCTGTTACTGTAATTTATCTCCAGACTGCCTGGTATTCTGGGCACCTTCAGCGGAGTTTGAAGGTAGGTCAGCTGGCATCCCTGGTAGTCAATACCATGCCTTGATGCCAAGTTGATACCAAGTTCCCAGCAAATGTTCATGGACCACAGGCTCTTGGTCCACCTTGGTCATCACCCTCATGTGATAGGAACTCAGACTGCCAGCCTCTGTTCCCCATAGCCTACATGAGGGCTCAGCATAGTCACCACCACCCATTTATGTAAGGTAAAACTGAGCTCCTACTACATGCTGGCCGCCTGCCACCCCCAATTCAAAGAAGGTCCAGCTCAGCGGCTCTTCTCACCTGGTCATACTGGCCCTGTTCCACACAGTCACCAGGAGACGTTTCTGCTCATCCTCTTCCAGGACAGGACTGGGAAGCAAAGCAGAGAGACTATCAGAGTGTTAGGTGATCAGCCTGCCAGAGTCCACCAAGATTACAAAAATTTAGGATGACTCTACACCACTGATTACATATGGTGCCATTAGAATGGGAGATGAGTATCCCGTGCATAATAAAGTTTATGTTACATTGTTAAAGACAAAAAGGAGGTTACCACACACCATTATAAAACAATTCTGTGTTGTAAACACATACAAATGCCCACACCCACACAGAGGAAAGGATCCACAAGATACAGAAGGCACATCATGGCACAGGTGCACCTACCCATATGTAGGCAATACATTTATACACATAAAATAAAAATAATAAAATATTTTTAAAAATTATTCAACCCAAAGACATTTTCCATGGGCTAGAGAGATGGCTCAGTGGTTAAGAGCACTGGCTGCTCTTGCAGAGAACCCCAGTTTGGTTCCCAGCACCTACATGGTAGCTGAAAACCATGCCTAACTCTAGTTCCAGGGGCTCTGATGCCTTCATCTGACTTCCATGGGTATTGCACACTCATGGTGCACTTACATTCATGTATGAAAAACACTCATGCACATACAATAAAAATAAATAAATAAAAAATTTAAAAACACCACTTCTAGGTCTAGGTGAGAGCTGGCCTGGTTTTCATTCATACAGGTCCCTTTTCAGGCACATTCAGTTCTATGATTGCTGAGCAAGTGTTACTGACCACCAAGTCCCTCAGAGTCCATCAGCTGCGCCAGCTAAGTGACTCCCGCTGCTCCATCCTTACTGGGCCCTTGCAGGCGAATGCTCCCGCCCACTCTAGCAGCCAATCCCCACGCTCACCTACCACCCTCCTACCCTGCTCTGTAATACCTGCCATTTCGTTATCCACGACCAGGTCTGCTCCCTTACCTCCTCACTGCCCACAAGATCAGCCTGCTTGGATTCTTCCCAATAACCTCTGCACATCTAAACCAGGCCCCCTCACGGCAGCCTGAGCCCACCACAGCAACCCCTGCCTCCTTACCTCTACTGGTGTCGTACCCAACCCAGAATGCCCCTTCCAACCTTCACTTCTTGTGTCATTCTTATGCTCTACTAAGGTTCAAAATCCCATTTTTCCCATGAAACCCTCCTGGTTACCTCAGCCCACAGTGGGGTCTCCCTCTTCCCACACGTGTTCTCTTTATTCATTTCATTCTATTCTTGTAGCCAGTATTCACTAGACATGTATGGACTAGGCACTAGGGATAGTGGTGCCTTCAGAGCAAAGGAGGCCCAGTGTTCACGATGCACAGAGTCCTAGGTATGTGCGTGCTGTTACTGTAATTTATCTCCAGACTGCCTGGTATTCTGGGCACCTTCAGCGGAGTTTGAAGGTAGGTCAGCTGGCATCCCTGGTAGTCAATACCATGCCTTGATGCCAAGTTGATACCAAGTTCCCAGCAAATGTTCATTGACCACAGTCTCTTGGTCCACCTTGGTCATCACCCTCATGTGATAGGAACTCAGACTGCCAGCCTCTGTTCCCCATAGCCTACATGAGGGCTCAGCATAGTCACCACCACCCATTTATGTAAGGTAAAACTGAGCTCCTACTACATGCTGGCCGCCTGCCACCCCCAATTCAAAGAAGGTCCAGCTCAGCGGCTCTTCTCACCTGGTCATACTGGCCCTGTTCCACACAGTCACCAGGAGACGTTTCTGCTCATCCTCTTCCAGGACAGGACTGGGAAGCAAAGCAGAGAGACTATCAGAGTGTTAGGTGATCAGCCTGCCAGAGTCCACCAAGATTACAAAAATTTAGGATGACTCTACACCACTGATTACATATGGTGCCATTAGAATGGGAGATGAGTATCCCGTGCATAATAAAGTTTATGTTACATTGTTAAAGACAAAAAGGAGGTTACCACACACCATTATAAAACAATTCTGTGTTGTAAACACATACAAATGCCCACACCCACACAGAGGAAAGGATCCACAAGATACAGAAGGCACATCCGTGTGAATGCAAGAACTACAGGGGTTTTCTATTTTCTTCTTTTTGCTCATATCTTGTAAGGTAAGGAGAAACCCAAATATTATGATTCATTGTCACTAACAGGAAAAGACCAAATGTCCATGACCTTCCCATTGGTCCCAGAGTATCCAGAGATGGGGAGAGAAATAATAGTAATAACGACAGAAACAACAATAGCAGCTCCCACTCTGCTGGGCACTGTCACATATCCCACTTAGAGTCCCCACCTCCCCAGGCAGGAACTATTATTAACTCCATTTTACAAAGGAGGAAGCCAAGGCTCAGGGAGGTTAACGAGTTTAAATAAAAAGGAGGGTGAGCAGGTAAACCTCCCTTGACTTGGAAAATTCCTTCTACGAAGGTGAAAGGCCAAAAGAGGCGCAGTGGGAAACTGGCTACTCTTTACAGGATCTGCAGCCCAGGCTGGGCACTGTGGTTAGGAGAGCCAGCCAAAAGATATGGTCTCAGTGTGGGCCTCACTGTTGGGCCTGGGCCAGGGATGCAAGGACACCGGGGAATGAGAAAACAAAGGCATCTTTAGAAGTCACTGTTTTTCTGTATAGATCTATGTCTAGATCTGGCAAGCAGAGCTCTTTCCAGATAAACACTCCCTGTCTCTCTCTTCTTGAGGGCCGAGCTGCTTCAGACTCTTACAAGAAGAAGTGCTCGTGGAAAACTGGGTTTCTGCAGTCTGGAATGGTCTGCGTCTTCTGACAGCACAGTCGAGTGTCTTCAGGGATCAAAGAAATCTCAAAGTGGAGAAAGCATAAGCATTAGCTGATCACAGAGCCACATAATCACCTAAGCCCAGCAGCTAGCTCTGCACATCTCTGAGCTAAAAGCTTCCTGGTATCCTTCAAAACAGGCCCTGAAGAGGACAGAGTGCAGTCCTCACAAGACAGGGTACATCTGCATCATCTCTGCTCTTTCCCCAACCAGGAAGTTTCACCCCAAAGCCAAAGGCCTCTCCTCTCTCCTAAGTCCACAGCAGTCCCTGGGCATTCCCTTTCCAAGAGGCTCCAAGTCCACACTCTTACCCCAGAGATCTCCTTCCCCTCTTCAGGCACCTAGCCTGCTTCTGGCAAGCCTTTCTCCAGGATGGAGAAGAGCATCAGGAAGTAAGAGAGTGGGGATGAGAGCCTATACCTGGCATCTTGGCTGCCACACTCTGGGATGTTCCTGACCTTTGGCTCCCACTGGAAGCAGCCTTTCAACCCTGTTGGATCCTGCCTTTACCACAAGGGCCTAACCTAGAAGTATCTTCCAGCAATCCCTCCATTCCTGCCAAAGCCTGCCTGTCCTGCCTCTAGTTTGATGAGGGAAGGGATGGAGATGGTGCTTTTCACAAGAAGCCTTGTGTTTCAGTCACCTGCATTCTTACAGTCCTCACCTATATACATCACCAAGATTACTCTTGAGATTCTAGCTCTTTCCCCAAGCCCTAGGGACAAAGTCAGGCAAGAAACAAGTGTCTAGCCTAGCACAGGGCCTCAGAAATGTCCACTGACCCAACAAATGAGGTGGTAACCACAACCTCAGACCCCAAACCCATGGGTGTGCTGGGACCTTGAGACTCTACCCAAGGACATGGCCCCTCAGCACCCCACATCCAGCATCCAGTCCCATCAGATACCTTCACATAGGGATCACAGGTGCCAGGCTCTTTGCTCATCAGGCCTTTGCCTTCTATGACTAAAAGAGAATTGAAAAGTTAGCATGGGTGAGTGGGAGTGTATACACATGTTAGTGCAGACATAAACATACACTAATGGGAAGATCTGAAGGAAAATACAAGGTCCACCTGTGGGTAGGACGATTCTGGCCCTTACTCCCAGGTCTTAACTGACATGCTAACGATTGGATGTTAGGCCCTCTCTGCCTAGTGTACTGCCATCACCCCCATGTTCTGGAAGCACTGTCACTAGGGTATGGAATGGACTGCATTCCATTCCCTTAAAATGTATGGAATCCAACCCACCACTGAGTAGGAAAATGTAGCCATGAGGAGGACCCAAAGATGTAAGGAACTTGTCCAGAATCACAGAATAATGGGAATGGCAGTTGGATTAGAACCTATGGCTCTTGACTCTCAGTTCAGTGCTCTCTTCTGTCTCCCAAAACAGCCTTCAGGATGGGGGCCCAGCTGCATGGGGTGTTGAGCTATGTAATGGGCAGTGTCACACAAGGACCACAAGCTCAGGGTCCAGAGGCAGGCAGATGATACATGAAGCCAGCTGCACCTCTTACTAACAATGTGTGCAAGGGGAAGTTAGTTTTCCATTTCAGACTGAGTGTGCCATTTTCCCATGATGATAATACCCAATGGTGTGACAATTGTGCTTTTTAAATAAGAGAATGTTTCTAAAGTACTTAGTAGAATTTCTGAAAAATAAGTAACTGCCCTACAAATGTTTGTGAAATAAAAAGAATGCATAAAGGTTAGGACATGGCTTAGTGAGTAGAGTCCTTTCCTAGAATGCATGAGGGTTCAATCCCCAGCACTAACATGAAAGAAAAAAAAATGAATAAAGGCTAAGAATGGGGCAGGTGCTGGCCATGCAGGTAGAAGGTAAAAATGGCTCTTTTGCCTGAGGTCCACAGCAATCAGGCAACAGGTTTTGTAGAACCTGTACCTCTTGTTTTCTTCCATGCCTGGTTTTGTCAGGCGCTGGGGTTTGGCTTACTTGGAGCCCCCAGAAGTCCGGCATGAGACTTGGGAAGCTCGCTGGAAGGGCTGACAGGCTGAGGCTGGGGAGAAGCCAAAGCAAACTATGCAGGACAAATGGTGTGGCGGTAGCCAAGATGCGTTTTGCAAAAACTATTTGAACAGCTGGAGAGAGGCCCCAGGCAAGCCAAGATCACCCCTTTCTGGGTCCTTGGGAACTTCACCTTGGGCTCCTTAAGGCCAGGAGCAGAGGACCCTTGGTGGCTGCTGTTCTCTGTCCTGTATCTTAGCTACTGTTCCTTAGTGCCTCCCTCCCTTCAAGGGTGTGGCTCTCCAAGGCAGGATCCAGGTCTGGTGGCCTCTCAGGTCCTCTGCGACCACCTGGCCACGCCCTCACTGCACTTCCATCATGGTGGAGGGTCCAGACCCAGGGTGGCACTGTGTGGTCAGATAAGGACACAATGCAACAAGCAACTAATAGCCCCTGAAGGTGGATTAGGGACAGAGGGTGATCCTGGGGGGGAAATAAGGCAGAATGAGTCTTCCTTCCTGTGGTCCAATCCTGTCCTGGGCAGACAAAATTCTTGAAAAAGCAGAGAGAGACGGTTTGTTTTAGAAGGGAGCTCAACAAAAGAGGAAGGTTATTCCAACATATGGACAGTAGGTTCCTATGCAAAGGCACAGAGGCACGGACAAGCAGGACACGCATTCGTGGGGAGTGGGGCAAGTAGTGGATGAAATGGGGGTGGAGGGTGGCTTGAGTAGCAAGAGCCAGGGAGGCTGAGACAGGCAGGGCCTTCCATGGGGCCGCAGCAGAAGCTTGGTACTACTCATGTGCTGGAGAGAAGGAAGAACGGAGGGATAAGTGGACAAGTCATGCATGATGATCCCCCACCCTGTGCGCAGGCATGTTAGACAGCTCTTCAGATGCTACATGCCCTCTCTGGCTCCCAGGCCTATGCACTTGCTACTCCCTCTGTAGAAGGCGCCCACCCTCCTGCTCCCTTCCTTCTGGCTCTGGCCTGTCCTCCCTTCCAGGCGGAGTGTTGGCTATTACCACTCTGCCAAGTCCTCCCTGGCATCCCATGGCACCACCTAGACACAGGGAGGTACTTCTCCTCGGTGTTCCCAGTTCCTAGCACAGAAGCAATATCTAACCACTAACTAACTTTTCAGTTTATAGGTTTCCATTTTATTCAATAGACACTTATACGGCATGCTGGGTACTTTACCAATGGTAACTCATTAAATCCTTGGAACAACCCATGCGGTGTATATTATTACCAGCACCTTGTGATATGAGAAAACTGAGCTTGCTCAAGGTTACTCAGCAAGTAACATATCAGAGCCAGGACTCAGATTCTAGTAGCCTAGCTCTAAAAGCTGTGACCTTAACCATGACATTTGCTGCCCATCTTTAAGAAAATAAATGAAAAAAAAAAGAAAAAAAGAGGGAGAAAAGGAAGGATTAAAAAGACAGCAGGGGGATCCAGGCGTGTTGGTGCATGCCTTTAATCCCAGTACTCAGGAGACAGAGGCAGGTGGGTCTCTGTGAGTTCCAGGCCATCTAGTACTACAGGGAAACTCAGTCTCAAAAAGACCAAAAAACCAAACAACAAAAAAAGACAGCAGGGGCAATAGGAAGGCTTCTGCATGGCCCTGCTACAGTGGGGCCAAGGGTAACTGAGGCACCTAGAGACAGCTCCAGTGAGGACAAAGGCCCAGTACAGGGACTCCAGGCACATCAGGACAGGGACAAGGGCTGGGTCTATGGAAAGAGTCCCAAGTGAACACCCACTTTTGTCAGTGGACAATGGCAGGGCACTATAGGAGAAAGACAGAGGCTATAGTGACATCGGCTCCCAGTCCAACTCCAGGTACAAAGGGACTGACCTATCCTTCCTTGGTGAGCCTACACATAGCTATACTCACTGTGCAGCAGCAGAACCCGATCCTGAGCGTTAATCGACAGCTTCAGCTGACCTAAGGGAACAGAAAAAGAAACACCTTCACCTTGGCTCCCTGATAGGGAAACTGAGCAATGGGACAGGGAAGCTCTTTTATTCAGGTGAGGCCATGCAAGACACACACAGTCAAGCCAGGTGTGGTGGCACAGGTCTTTAATCCCAGCACTTGGAGGGGGAGGGTGCAAACACAAGCAGATCTCTGTGAGTTCGAGGCCAGTGCAAAGGCAGGCAGAGCTCTGTGAGTTCGAGGCCAGCCTGGTCTACATAGTGAGTTCCAGGTAAGCTGGGCTACTGGGAGTCCCTTTTTCAAAAAGATTTAAGAGAGAGAGAGAGACAGAGAGACAGAGAGAGAGAGAGGGAGAAAGAGTCTCTGACTGGAAGGGACCTCAGAAGGGCCTTGGTTCTGCTTCCTCTCCCCATCCACTAGGAGTCCCTTCTTTAGTGGCTCCAGAAACTGGTTCTCCACTGATGCCACCCCGTATGCACACAGCACCACAGCTTGGCTAAATGTTAGGAAACCTGGAAACTCCTGAAGGGATGGTCTCAGCTGTTTCTATGTGGCCTGTCATAAAAATATTGTTGCTAAGGGTTTTTTTGTTTGTTTTAAATATTTTTATTTATTTTTATGTGTGTGCATGTATTGCCTGCATATATGTAAGTGCACCCGTGTTGAGCAATGCCCGAGGAGAACAGAAGAAAGTGTCAGATCCCCTGGAACTGGAGTTAGGGACAGTTGCTAGCTACCATGTGGGTGAGTGCTGGGATTCAAACCCGGGTCTTCTGCAAGAACAGTCAGTGCTCTTAACACTAAGCCATCTCTCCAGCCCCTCTTGCTAATTTTTTAAAGAGAGAAATTGCAGAGCAAACTGTGTGTGTGTGTGTGTGTGTGTGTGTGTGTGTGTGTGTGTTTACAAAGGACACCAAATTGAAAACAGTCAAATTGCCTCAAGGGAAGAGCTTAGGAATTGAAAGGAAGTAGTCAAAAGAAATTTCAACTCACTGCTACTCTTGTTGTTTTAACAATATGAATACATCCATGAACAACAGTACTTTGATAATTAAAAATGAAACACTCAGGAAGTAGAGGAAGGAGGATCTCATGTTTGAGGTCAGCCATGGCTACATAGGAAGACCCTGTCTCAAAAAAAAAAAACCAAGGAAG